TCTTGGGGCCTTGTTGATGGAAAGCCGGGTTTGGAAAAAGAGCAGGTGCCCGATAGCCACAAATAGGGCTAGGAAAGCCTTGGATCGGGCAGTGGTGCGTAGAGTGGCAGCCCTGGGTGGGTGGGTCATTGACCACCCGGGCAATTGCGAGGCCCTCTACCGGCTTGATGGCGTGCATCTTTCGGATGCGGGAAATGATATTTGGCTTGATGGCGTGCATCTTTTAGATGCGGGAAATGATATGTGGCTTACTGATATAGCAAAGGGGGTAAGGGATTGGTTTCAGGCATGAGAGTATTGGCGGCGAGCGATTGCTCGTGTGGCGGTAGGCATTGGTAAGAAGGGGTTAAGAGGATGTGGGGGGGGAGGAACGCCATCACCTCCCCCCAGCGACCGAAGGGTGGTCCGTTAAAGGACTCCGGGGGCGTGGCCCTGTCCGAAGCCTATGGAGGTGAGGGCCAAAGGCACGCCCCAGAGCGGTGACCCGGGGGAGCTCCTAGTCGACGTGCCTCAGCAGGAGACTCCCCCGATATAAGGTTAACCCTTCCCCGTGTCTCCAGCAAATGGGCTGGAGCCGGATAGTCGTTAGGACCAATGCCTAAGCCAATGCCTCTCATTCCTGAATTCAATAAAGTTGTGGCCTAATTCGCCCAATTAACCTTAAATTATGGTGTCTCGTGTCTTTATTTATCCTGGTGGGGGGCGGGGGGAACTCGCCACACAAAGAGCAGAGGAAGGGAAATGGAAGAGGCAAGAGTTAAGAGCCTTAACAAAGCGGCCTGTGTGAAACTTCACCAGCTTCCAGAAGTAGCAAGTCAATCGAAGTAATTTGGATGCCCACCTACCCAAAGTGGCAGAGGAGTTTGCTCTTCCGTGGCTTTTTCATGGTGCATCTGCTCTGGAGTTTGTGACCAAGATGGGTTGATCTAGAGGTGTGGGTCTATGTGGGCACATATATGGCTCTGCCCTTTGGCCCTCTGATCTTTCCTTGCCCTGTGCTGTGGCCATTTTAATAAGTCAGCCTCTCTGTAGCAAGCAGAAGGGTGGAGGAGAGAACTAGATGACCTCTCTTTTAGTATCTACCAGCTCAGAAGAGAACAGAATTGTCATTAAGGAGGGGAGGAACCAGGATTTGCTAATAGGCTGACTTGACCAGCTTTACACCAGGGCTGGCCTTGGCCCTTGCTTCTCCAGCCTCCCTGGATCTTAAGCTGCCAAATCTCCCAGCGGTTTCAGTCATCACCTTTTGCAGCTCCTGTCTCCCTTTTAATGAGCATCCCTGCGTGCTCCCTGTACCTGTGAACAGCTCTGTGTCTGTAGCTCCTCTCCACCTGCTGCGCTTATGCCTTGCTGCCTTGGGGGATTTGGGCTGGAACCAATCAGTCAAGAAGCACTGGTGGTAAGAGTTGGTGGTGGCTTACATTCAAGGTGCGTGCAGCTGCAGGGGCTTTTATTTCCTCTCTTTTCTTTCTCACTCTCCATATTTTTCCTTTTATTTGGGATGGCTGCATATGGCTCTCTGTGCTTGTAGGCGAAGTGGGTCTGAGATCTGTGAGCCACAGGATTCAGTCCCCAAGGGCCGCTCCATTTCCTCGGGCAAATAGCTGCAGAAGTGGAGTATTTCTGGTCAATCAAGGCAAAGTGGGTGAGGGAGATGGGAAGGGCCATTCATGTGGCATCATCAAGGCTTCACAGAGCTCTGCCAGGGGCCTGTCGCTCACTTGTGTGCGGCTTGTTGCTGCTGTCATCAACTTTCTCTGAGTAAAGTCTGATGGCAGCACACAAGTCCCTTCCCTGGGATGAAGCATCAGGCGCTAATGGGCTGTTTAATCCCGGAGAAGGGACCAGTGCTGGGATGAGCGGTAGGAAGGCAAGAGCACGGACAAAGACAAATCTTAATCAAGGCAGCTTTTGGTGCCCCAGGGCCAAATAGCTAGCCATTGGGATAGTGTGCTGTGAGAGAGACAGCTGTGGAGATTGACGGCACCCAAAGAATATCACCCCACTCGTAAAAAAAACTACACAAAAACCCCCAAAGCAAAACCCACACAATGTACTTCACTGCATTTACAGTTGAGTAGCACACACATGTATACTGAATTTATTTCCTTTATCGGATTATCCCTGGATTGGGAAAATCCAAATGTAATGGGGGAAAGTGTGGACTGCTAGTTGGATGAAGAGGACATAATGTGAACAGCACCAAAAAGAATGGAGACACAAGCAGCTTCAAATCCACATTAAATTTCTGTGTGGACTAGTTCAGGCATGGGGAATCTTTGGCCCATGGGCCATATTTGACCCATCTGAAGTCCTAATTTGGCCCTCAAGGCTGTTCTTTGGAAGCCACGCCCACCTGCCCCACACCTGACATCATATATGACGTCAGGTGAGGGACAGAAAGCCATGGAATAATGGGGGACTTAAACTGGGCTCCCCATTGTCTGCCCTTTGGAAGGATTCATCCTCCTTGTGTGCCCAGCGTTGTCGACAAGTAGCCCATATGCCTGTGATACAAGCGGCTCTGGTGATGGCAAAAGAACACCAGCAATCCATCACGACCTGTCATCCAGCTGCAGCGTTGGCACAAAAACTTTCCTGGGCTTGAGTGGGGGAGAGCAGATGACGAGAATTTGTGAATAAAGCTAAACTGGAATATGAGAGGAAAGGTTCCAATAAAGTGGAAAGGTTTAGAAGAAGAAGCACAGAAGGTTTAAACTTGGTTAGAGGGACTGATTGCTCATATCAAAGCTGCCAGGTTGGGTCAGTCTAGTGGTTCATTTAGCCCAGACTCCTTGCTTTCAACTGCACCAAATGTTGCTGAGAAACAGAAGGGACCCACACCTCATTCTTTGTTCCTAATATCTGGTACTAGCATTCAGTGACCACCTTGGCCAGTGGCTTTCAGTAGCAGGGTGTTGTGTTGTGGAGGTGCTTACCTGGCCTCCCAGAAGAGGGAGAGGCAAAGAGGAGGCCGCACTGACAGCACCATGCAAAATCAAGGCTGTAGCACCTGCCCACTCTAGTCTCTGGCACTGGAAAGAGAAACCCATGAATTCTGGCCCTTCCCCCCAACCCTGCGGTCACTTTGTGCCCTTGCCAAACTGTTTGGCTGCATACTAAACCTTCCAGGTTTGCTTGTATTTTCACCCCTTCAGGACAAATAAGCAAGTACTAGTATACTTCCAAAAAACTCCTTTTTTCCACTTCCCTCAGAGCCTTTCCCTCTGATTCCTCTCCACGTCTGTTCGCCACAGTTCAGTGCAGAGATGGGTCTGCCTAAGTCCACTGAAATCAAGAGGCTATGAGGGCACATGCTGTAGCTCAGTCTCGGATTATGACCATTGTATCTTAGCACTGCATGAATAGTCCAACCCCTCCTTTCTTCAGCCTCTGCTACCGACATTGGAATGGACCTTTTCCTAACTACTCCATACCATCTAACATTTCTCCGATGGAAATTGGGACATCCCATTCCATAATGAAAATCTTACTAAGTTGCCCCAGCCACTCTGGGCAGCTTCCAATATATAAAAATAATAATAAAACATTAAACATTAAGAAAAACTTCCCTATAAAGGATTGCCTTCAAACGGCTCAGAGGTTGGATAACTCCATTTATTTATTTTATTTATATTCCGCCCTATACCTGTAGGTCTCAAGGTGGTTCACAGAATAGATTCACACACGGATCCCCTAACTGTAAAAAATAAAGATTAATGCACTTCTAATGTTTTTATTTTAAATGTGCTTCAGTTTTGAATAGAGCAGTGGCACTCCTGGAGGGGATATTTTCCCCTATGCCATTTTCTTGCTCTGTACTGCTCACACACAAACACCACCAGGAAAAAAAATCAGAAATGAATAAGTAGAGAAATAGCAGCTTGAAGTGGGGAAAACAGCATGGGTGGGATTTAGCTAAGTTGTATGAATGGAACGAGGTCTGCTTGTGCAGCAAAACTTCTCTTCCCCCTACTCTTGTGTGCACTCCCCCCTATACCCACTAAACTTGCTTTGGATGGTTGGGGGAAAACTTAGATTAGGTTTATTTGGGGGCGCAGTGGAGAGGGGGAGTTCCATTGTGAAAGTGGTCCTTGTTCCCTGCATGTGTGCCCAGTGCTATGTTTATTTCCAAACCATGGTGGGGAAGGATTAAACAATCCCCCAGTTCTGCTGCTCTGATCAAAATCAGAACCCTTCCAATCACCCCCCACATGGCAGGTTCAAACTATTTGTTTGTTCGTTTGCTTTATTTAAAAGCATTTATAAACTGCTAAATATATCAGAAACCTCTAAGCAGAGGTCTAAAAGACAAACATTTTATCAGTAAAACATTAAAACAAAAACACAACTTAAAACCAATAAAATAGCAGTATAGAACACATAAGAGATATCAAAGCAAGTAAGAGAGAAATTCAGAGGATTCAAACACATGGAACAAGGCCCACTCTTGTGGTTCAAGGGAAGCATGGGCAAAAAGGTAAGTCCTCACAAGAAGTCTGAAGCAAGGGATCGTTGCCACTTCATGTAAACTCGAGGAAAGGGCCTTCCACTATGCAGGGGCAACAGCAGAATCAGGTCAGACAGTGTTGGCATATTATGGAGCTCACATGTCACAGCTATTGTTACTTGTAATAAAGGCAGAACTTCCCATCTGCCAAATGAAGTGTGTGATATGAACAAATGTGCTCACCTGTTGTCTGGGTTGCATGGTTCGTGGAACTGGATTTTTCTGTGTTGTAGAATTTCGGGTGCAGAGCTGTTGTGTTTTAAGGGTAACACTAGAATGAAGCAGGGCACCACAACTTCCCAGTGTGGTCCAGTTTAAAGAGCGATGAAGCACTCTTACAAGTCCTTTTTTAAACCTATTTGTGTCCTGAAGATACCTAGATGCTTTCTCTGTGCGCAGGGCAGGGTGCAGATGCACCATGAGTACATGAAGGATCTCAGAGCACACCTGTTTTAACCCAAATTCCCTATTTTCTCTACCTCTTTTATAGGTTGCGTGTGTGAAAGGCCATGTGACCAAGACCCTGAACTACCTGGAGATGAGTCCCTCAAGTGTCTTGAAGGGCACTGCTTTGAAACCTCACCCGCTCAACCCTGCTCGAATATTTTCCAGTGAGCCATCCAAAGCCAAGCTGGACCCATACAGTGGTGCCCTGAGTCCCTGGGACTGGACCAAGAACCAGACGGCCATGGAGCACTTCAACCAGCGAGCTAAGAGGAAGCCCTCCATGAAGGCGGGCCGAACCAAGAAGATCTTCGGCTGGGGTGACTTCTATTTCAACATCAAGACCCTGAAGTTCAGCCTGCTGGTGACAGGCAAGATCGTGGATCATATAAATGGCACCTTCAGCGTCTACTTTCGTCACAACTCCTCCAGCCTGGGCAATGTCTCTGTGAGCATTGTGCCACCCACCAAGGTAGTTGAGTTTGATGTACTGGTTCCCCCTATCCAAGCCCAGCACCTTCACCCTCAGCAGTCCACTTTAGCTGAGCACAAGGAACCCAAGACCTTCAACTGTCACGTGGAATATGAGAAGACCAACCGGGCACGCAAGAACAAGCCTTGCCTCTATGACCCTTCTAAGATCTGCTTCACCGAGCACACGCAGAGCCACGCCGCTTGGCTGTGTGCCAAGCCCTTCAAGGTCATCTGCATCTTCATCTCCTTCTTCAGCATCGACTACAAGCTGGTCCAGAAGGTCTGTCCAGATTACAACTTCCAGAACGAGAACCCCTACTTTGGCTGATGAGGGGGGAAGACTTTGGGAGGGGGGACAGTGCAGAGGGGTGTTAAGTAAGTTGCACTCTTTTTATCAGGACAGGAATTGGAAGAACTTTGGCTGGCACTGAAAGAAACAGGAGAGGCCCCCCCCCCCCGCCACCCTGATGCTTAGTGAGAGAAGGATGGCCGGTTCTGAACAGGAACTGGATTCTGCTCCATCTCATAAGGCATTCCCTTCCCAGTGGCCACTAAACTTCCCAGGACTTTAGGAAAATAGAAACTGGCCAAAAGGACACTGTTGCTTTTGCTCCCCACTGTACCCCCTTTCCGATGCTGTTTGGGTCATCTCAAGGGAATTCCCAGCAATATGAAGAAATGGCTTGCTGTGGCTTTCATCTCTTTTGTGCATAAATGGACCCTGCTGCTTCTGTGGGGCTGTCACACTGACTTATATGAGAATGTCTTTCAGGATCATGCCTCCCATCTGGAATATAAGGTTCTGGTAGCAGCCAAAGGTCCCTCTGTGCATCTCTCTGTTTCTCTTCTCCTTGGACTGAGCCACAAATTGTCAGCTGAGTTGCTACTGAAGCTATTCATTGACCTACCTGGGATTGTGGAAAAAGCATATTAACCCACAGTGCCAACTCACCTCTTGCCAGATGCTCTACAATGGAAAGGACCAACAGAGGGCAGAAATTGCCAAACTCGGGAGCTTCTCTGTTCATATAATACAGGAATGTAATGTGCAATGGATCAATCATGTTAAATTGGGAGGGAGAGTGAGAATGTGTGTCAGCTGGAGTTAAGCTGAATGTAAACAGGGAGATTGGGGTTCGGTGGGTGAGATCATGTCAGAACACGGGGTTTGCATGAGAAACTGAAAGATTGGGAGGTGCATAAGAACACATGGATGCAACCGGGACTGTAACATTTCAGTGTGCGCACGTGCACGTCTGTGTGTGTGTGTAAGTGGAACTTTATGTTCATAGCAGAAGCCTGAGTTGAGTGTTAGTAGAAATTCAAATGAAATTCTATTAAGGACTGTGAGATTCAACTGAAACAAATATGTGTGCATAACTTAGGAAAGTGTGTGTGTGAGAGAGAGAGTGTGTGTGTATACACAGCATGACAGCGAATAAGAATGTGTGCTATCTTAGGTGTGCTCTTTTGGCCTTAATGGCATATGTATTTGCAAGTACATTTATTTAAGTCTGTATAACTAGGAATGCATATATGCCACCATGACAGTAATGAAGTGTGTGTGTTTTAATTAGGGCTGCAAGCATTCATTGATTTATTCTGCAGATTGATCAACTAGAGCTTTAATCTCAGATTAAAATTTGTCCCCTTTGATTGAGTGGCAGGGCTAAGACTGAGCGGCACACTGTTGTGCAGTCCTTGCAGGTGTAGCAGTTTCCTCTTTTCTGCGGATGGGTTTGCTTTCCAGCTGACACCCAGAGTTTGCAGATCTTTTTTCATTTCAGGGTGAAAACCCACTGGGGTTTTCCTGCCAGCTATATGAAGCACAAAGCAACTAAGGCTGACAGTGCTCATTTGAAAATCACATCAGTTTCTCTTTTAACTCTGGATCTTCCGCAGCACTTACAGGATTTTGAAGTTGTTCCTTTTTGAAGACATTTTGGTTCTGATGACTTTACTGTAACAGGGAATGCTCTGCACAAGAAAGAAAAATGTAAAGGATGATCAATCCTTCTTAATAGTGGTGAGCGGTAGCTTTTGTTGATTAAATTTTAAGCTATCTCACATTTAATAGGAGGCCATGCCTATCCTGCTGTATCATAAAAAGGCACCTGCGTTTTTGTGGTTTAGGTAAGGTGCAAATTTATTTAAAGACAATTGACAACCCTACTTTCAATATATTCACATATTTCAGTGTAAAGATTTCGTTAAAGGGTATGAAGAGACATTTGAGTTTGCATATGTAAGTATGAGTGTGTGCTATCAGGAATCTGAATGCTTGAGTAAGGAGTGTCCGTATAAATCAGTGGCAGCGTAGGTGAGATGGTGTTAATGGGAGTCTGCATGTGATTGCATGTGCTGGTGGGGTGTGAGAGAGAAATTGTCTTACTAAGCTGTATGGGAGGGAGAGAACAGATTCATTTTTTGGAAGAATGTATGGCTGGGCTTGCTTACATGAGTCTTCTAGAGCAGTTACTTTGAAAGCGATTTCTGCAATGTTCCTGCGCTCCCCTGCTCCCTCTTGCACATGGTGTGTCTAGAGGACTTTGGGTGTTCCATGAGAGGCTAGTCTATAGTCTGTCCTGGCTTCAGAGGGGTGGGTAGACTCTAGTAACATTGCAACTATTTCTAACATTCTGGCTCAGTGATGCTCTGAATTCCCTTGATTCCTTTCTCTTGCTTATCAGCCTCTCCCTTCCACCCACGGCCCTTGCAAGAATTACAAAGGGTTTCAAGTTGGTTTTTAGCGGTTGCCACATGCCAGGTATAGAAATGAAGAAGGGAAATGATATGCTTCTTTTTTGACAATCAGTATTGTTTGTTTGTTGGTTGGTTTCTTGGTTAGTTAACAGCAAAACAGGTTTGGCTCTTCAGGTTTGAATGCATACAGTAAAAAGCAACTACAAAGTAAGGAACAATTTAATTGTGTGCTGCCATTACAAAACCAGACAGTTGGAATATTTTCTGATGTACAACTTCAAAAACATTTATTGTCATTAAGACAGTCATTTATTCATTTTTAAAAGCAACGTGAGTCAAGTACTAGTAAAAGAAGTATGGCAATACCATATGGTTCAGTCATTTCTGGACTATGACATTTGTTAAAATGTTTGAGCGCTCCCTCCTGTGAACAAACATTCAGCTTGCATGTGAGGAAGGAGCCTAACTGTCTCTCTGTCATGCTAGCTTTCTACATGTTGGTTTGGGGTTATGGTTTGGCTTGGTTTTAACAAGGGCATTCGGACATTCATTCCTCCCCCTACATTCTGAAGTAGTACAGTTCTAGGAAGGCAGTATCACCTGATGCTTCCAAATGTTCAGTTCAGCTGCAAGAGCTTAAACACCAGAGATGAAACTTTAGATTGCTTTTCAAAATTGCAAATCAAATCTGAGGACAAAATGTGACTCATTGGAGAGTGGCCTGAATTTTAACTTGCACCTTTTTATGTGAAGGTAGCTTTGACTGAGAATAAGTCACTCTGCCTTCACCTAAAAACAACTTTGTTTCCATGAGTGAAGGACATGTGACACACATCCAGCCAGTTGTGGAATATGTTAGGCAAGCTGCATCGTGCTGCATTCACACAAATGGTGAATTATGAACTCACACTAACAGCGGGTGATGAATTCAGAAACACAGCCAATTCACATATAACCAAGTGACTGATGTCTTGGGGACCTCTGTGGGTGATGTTTACAAATGAAATAAAAGATTCATGTTGGAATTCATGAGTTGTAGATCATGAATCTAAAGGCTCACCCCAGCTGTAAGGGATCCCACCTGGAATTTGCATGGCCAAATGGTGAATCATCCAGTTTTGCCAGTTATAAAGGTAGAGGCTGTACCTTCACTACTCTCCTACTTGTTGCAGGACACGGGTGGCACTGTGGTCTAAACCACTGAGCCTCTTGGGCTTGCTGATCGAAAGATAGGCTGTTCGAATCAGCGCGATGGTGTGAGCTCCCATTGCTGTGTCCAGCTCCTGCCAACCTAGCATTTTGAAAGTGCACCAGTGCAAGTAGATAAATAGGTTCCACTGTGGCAGGAAAGTAAATGGTGTTTCCATGTGCTCTGGCTTCCGTCGCGGTGTTCCATGTGCCAGAAGAGGTTTAGTCATGCTGGCCACATGACCCAGAAAGCTGTCTTTGGACAAATGCCGGCTCCCTTGGCCTGAAAAGCGAGATGAGCGCCACACCCTATAGTTGTCTTTGACTTGACTCAATTGTCTAGGGGTCCTTTACCTTTACCTTACTTGTTGCAGCAAAGCTAGAGAAGTACAGCAGCCCAGCTGAAAGTGTGTGCAGGCTAGTGTCTCTGCTGTTGTGTTTTGTGGGTGTACACAACCATGAACAGGGATGCTCGTGCACATCAGCTCATGTAATAGGCATGAATCTCATGCAGCTGTCGGTGTATGTAAGTGATTTTGTGAGTGCTTTCAACAATGTCTGATGTCTCTGTGGCTGTATCGGTGTACTTCCTATTGTGTTAGAACTAAGCGTAGATGTGCTTAGTCTACACAATCACATCAGCGTTTCCTAAACTTCCCAAATTCTGTCCCCCCCTCCCGCCGCTGCCACTTAAAATTGAAGGCATACTTCACCTGTATTCTCAAAATGAGATATACATTTCCAGAACATTGGGGAAGCATTTCCCTTGGAATGACAGGTTATCCTAGTCAGTATTCTTTCCCAGCATCCTTCCCTTTGCACACTCGCACTCAGGGTTGGGACTATGACATGCTTTTGGGATTCCCCACATTTGTCTACTCTAGTGCAGGCTGCATTAGTGAGTCTGAATCCTCCCTGACTCCCTCCCTTAGGAAGATGTTACTTCAGAGAAAGGATCCATGTTGCACAAAGCTTTCCTACGTGAAAGTAGAGAGCACAGGCGGGCAATCTGTGGCCCTCCAGATGTTGCTGAACTACAACTCCCATCACCCCTACCATTGGCTGTGCTGGCTGTGGCTGATGGCAATAGGAGTGCAGCAACCTCTGGAGAAAGCCACTGTTACCACTGTCTGCACATGCCCCTGTTTACGTGTTTTGTGAACTTGCAAGTTTATACATGTTGCCAAGGAGGCATGTTATCTGGAATATTTAATCCAGAGCTTGTTGTGCTCTGTCTGATTGGCTGATTGCTAGGGCGGACATTGGCAAACAACAAAACCACATTGCCTGGATCAGCAGGTTGTACTAAGCTTGTTGCTCTGAGAGAGAGAGAAGCTGATGGAGCTTCAGAATCTAATGGCTACTGTGCAAGGAGTGGAGAACGGTGCTAGGGCTCTGGCCTGCTGAACTGGAGGCCTTCAAGTGCCCTGAAGGATGCTTGAACACAAATGGCATGGGTTTGGACCATGCAAGGACAGAAGGATGTTGAGATAAGAGAGAAAGGAATATGTTAATAATGTTCTGAAGAGGGGGAAGGAACAGGTTTTGCCATGACCCAAGACTTTGGGATCGTCACAGCTATGTAGTGGGACACTTGGGACGGCTAGGTGCAGGTTTTGTGGATTTGTATGCTGCAGTCTGCAGATACTGCGTGGTGGGATGATCTCTATCACTGGTTTTCAACCGGTGTGCTATGGCACCCTGGGGTGACTCGAGGAACATTCCGGGGAGCTCGGGGGGGGCATCCTTTCATTAAATTGCAGCCCATATCTTTCTGCATTATCTTTCTCTCTGAGGAACATTCAGGGGAGCCAGAAGCTTTAACTTACATCCCATTATCTTCCTGAAATAAAACTGCGGCAAAAAAAAGTGGGGAAACACTTTTGCAAGACTGTTTATCTTCTTAAAATCTTTCCCCCACACCAACAAAAATCCTTCCCAGCTTCAGTAACGAACAGTTCCTAGTTTTACACAGAGGGCTTGAGAGATGCAAGAAATTAACAAAGTAGCTTGATAGTGTGTGCGCCTGGATGTGTGTGCGCTCTATACAGTGGCGTGGGAAGGGGGGTGCAGCGGGTGGGGGCCACCCCAGGTGTCATCGCTGAGGAGGGTGACAAAATGGCAAAAAAATATGTGTTTTAAAATAATTTTTTAAAAATTGGGCTCACGACACTTTTTTTTGAAAAAAATAACTACTGCATCCCCCTTCCTACGCCACTGGTAGCTAGGTGAGGTGGGGAGCACCGGGCGCCACACCGCGGGGCCTGCAGTGTGCCTGAGCCACTTGTCTCTCCTGAGGGGGGGTGGCGCCGGGTGGACTGCCTGCAAGCTCCACACTGCTTTTCGAGCAGCGCAGGGCTTGCGTCTGTCCACCGCTTCAGCCCCCCTACATCTGAGGGGGCGGTTGCGGAGAGGCTCCATGCAGTGCACCCTGCCTTGGCTCACCCCTTTCCCATGGGCAGCTCGCTTCACCCCTGGCTGCAGGACACGTGCACCGCACTGGGCACCTGAGCAGATAGCTACTCCGCTGGCTCTATAAGGAAGTATTTAAAAATAACTCTGAAAGTGAGGGGTGTCTTCTGTGTTTCTCCTTCTATCCCCTGCCCCCAACATCCCTCTCCCTGCTTCTTCTTTGCTTCTCCCTCCAGGCAACCACCCTCCTCCTTAACAGCTTTATGGGCATGGAGGGAATGTTGCAGGAAAGGGCCATGTATGCATGTGTGTCCTGTGCTGTGTGTTTCTTACTTGCCTTCCCTGCAATAACAACATATTTCTGCTTCTGATCTTAATCTTGTTTTGCCCTCTCCACCCTCACTTCCACCATGTGCACACTAATTTTTGGAAAGGCAGGCTGGGGCTGCCATGTGGAGTGAGTCAGCTCGGCCCTGCAGAGCAGTGGCGTTGGTTGGGGTCCTGTCGACACAAGCGCTCCCAAAATGGCGCTGGCAAGGGGCGGGGTGGAATGGTGCAGGGGCAGAACACTTACACACGTCCTGTAACGGAAGCCCAGTGTCAGCGGCTTCCACAGGGGATCCGCAGAAAGAATGTGGTTGGTCAAGGGAGCCGGGACTCAAAAAGGTTGAAAACCACTTCTATGGATCATTCAGGACCCTGGTAAGGATAAGGGAACCACAGGTTAGTTCCTTAAAATTCTCTCTATGTAATTTCAAAAACAGCCATTTC